GTTGTTGTAGAAGTTTAATCCCAATGGAAGGCATGTTCCTCATAAAATTTCACTATAGGTCCCCGAACAACAAAAATCTGCAGCTGTAATAGATAGCCAAAAAATCTTGCTTACAAGTGGGCTATAAAAACTAAAATATAAACGTTGAAGCTTTTTTACGGACACCGTCGAATAAAGGGCCAAAACTCATCTTAAATGCGATTTTAGGTGATTGGTTGTTCCTGAAAAAATGTCACTGTAGGTCCCCGAACAACAAAAATCTGTAGCTATAATATATAACAATAAAATATCGCCTGCAATTCGGCTATATAAACTAAAAAATACATGATTAAGCTTTTTTGGGTCATTTTCTAATAGATGCCCAAAACTTCTATCAAACCCGATTTTAGGTGGTAGGTCTTAAGGGAAAATTTATTCCCCATTAAATTCTACTATGAGTCCCCGAATAACAAAAATCTTAAAATACGGTATATAGCTTGAAAATACCGTTTACAAGAACATGGCTCCATTGGTCAAACGTAGTAATTTTGGGTATTCTCAACTTCGGGTTCAAAACATCCACAAAACCTACTTTTTTATGGAAAGTCTCAACGGATAAAATATTCTCCATCAAATTCCTCAATGGGTCACCGACCACAAGAAATCGGTATTTGCAATATAAAACCATAAAATTCAGCTGGCAAATGGCATAGAGCTACGCAATACTTGCATAATTTCCCTTGTAAATCGTAGCTAATTTAAAATTCTGCAAATCATAAAAAACAAACCCCCACCCCTTTTACGATGCTATCCTCCCCACCTTACAGCTTTCATGATTTTATTCGCTTTTCTTGTTGTTGTTATTGTTGCTGTAATGCAGATATTCATAATCCATATGCAAATCCCCTTTGGAGATATTTTGTTTTCTCTTGGAACATTAGTATAGAAAGCAAACACATAAAAAGGAAGGCAGGAAGAAGCAGAGATAGCAGAAAAAAAATTATGCATTATTAAATCATGCAAATCTGTTTTGACAGGAACAGCCAACCATTAACACAAACTCCGGCAAACCCACATGCGTTACATACCAACAGGCCTTCAGGAAAAAAGGCTAATGTAATCTGCAAATTAAGCCGAAGATTGTTAAACATAGCTTAGGAACAGACAAAAAACACACACACATACACACCCACAGAACATCTAGTTATCCGAAGGAAAAAATGTACCTAAAATCTTGCTAAAGTCATTATAAAGGCTGGAACAGACAGCTAACAAAAATAAAGAAATTAATAAAAAAAAATGAAAATAACTGTGGGAAATGAAACTATTTTGCAAGAAAAAATTGAATACTATTTAAAGAATTTTTTTTTCTTCAACATTTCAAAATTTTCAGTATTGAAAATGCATAGATAGAGAATGGTATCATTTAAGGTACTTTTGCAATCAAGCCTTTCAATTGGAGCCCAAAATCAACCATAAAATTGCATTTTAGAGGCATGCTCTAAAGGAGTAAAATATTCTACAGAAAATTTCAATATGGGTAACCGAACACAAAATAACGGTAAATATAGTCTATATCAATAATATGCCGCCTGCAATAATGATACCCCACTGGAAAAAAATTAATTTCCAATTTTTCCTACAATTTAAAGCCAAAATCTCCCATAACGATTTAATTTTGGTGAGGGCGACCAAGGAAAAAAATATTCTACATAAAATTTCACTATGGGTCACCGACCACCGGAAATCGGTATATCTAATATATATACATGAAATAACGGGTTTAATAATTGTATATACAAATAAATTGCTAACATTTTTGGATGATGATTGATTGGTTCGCACCCCAAAAACACCAATTAAACTTAACTTTAGTGGAAAGTGATCAATGTAAGAAATATTCTACATCAAATTTCACTATGGACCGCGAAGCAAAAGAAATCTATAGTTCCGCTATATACCCTTTAAATATCGATTATAAATCTAAGAAATGAAAAAACATATTTTTAGATTATTTTTCGAATTATTCCATCTATGGGCCCATTATGCCTTCAGGACTCCATTCTATGACCTTGCAGCCAAAGAAAAATATATTCTCTATAAAATTTCACTATAGGTCCTCGAACCACTGAAATCCGTAACCCTACAATTTATCAAGGAAATATCGGTTACAAGTCGGACAACTTGTTTTATGTGCTAATTTGCCTGGAATTTCCGACAACTTGGGGATTTCTCCCACAAAAACTAGTTTTGAAGAGTTGCTATAAAGAAGAAAATTATTGTCCATAAAATTTCACTGTAGGTCACCGAACGACTGAAATCCCTAAACCCAATATGTGTTTAAATGTCGGTTACAAACCGGTCATTCGGTTTTATGAATTAATTTGCCTTTAATTTTCGACAACTTGGCGATTTCTCCCACAAAGCCTAGTTTTGGAGAGTTGCTATAAAGGAGAAAATTATTCTCCACAAAATTACACTGTAGGTCACCGAACAACTGAAATCCCTAAATCTACTATATATGGGTTAAATATCGGATACAAACCGGTTGGTCGGTATTATGAGCTAATTTACCTGTACTTTTCGACAACTTGGCGATTTCTCCCACAAAACCTAATTCTGGAGAGTAGCTATAAAAGAGAAAATTATTCTTCATAAAATTTCACAATAGGTCAGCGTACAACTGAAATCTCTAAATCCACTATATATGATAGAAATATAGGTCAGAAATCGGTTGTTTTATGTACTAATTTGCCTTTAATTTTCGATTTCATGACGAATTCTCACACAAAACCTAACTTTGGAGAGAGGCTTTAAAGGAGAAAACTATTCTCCACAAAATTTTACTATAGTTCACCGAACATCTGAAATCTCTGAATCCACTATATATCGGTTAAAACCGGTCGGTCTGTTTTAAAAACTAATTTCCCTGCAATTTCTAATTTCCCTGACTTGTTTTAAGTGCTAATTTGCCAATAATTTTTTACTATTTGACAATTTCTACCACAAAACTTAGTTTTGGAGAGTTGTTGCAAAGGAGAAAATTACTCTCCACAAAATTGCACTGTAGGTCAGCGAACAACGGAAATCCCTAAATCCACTATATATCAAGGATATATCGGTCAGAAGTCGGTTGACATGTTTTCTATGCTAATTTACCTGAATATATTGTGACTTCTTGCTGATTTCTAACACAAAACTTAATTTTGGAGAGTTGTTATAAAGGAGAACATTATTCTCCACAAAATTTTACTATAGGTCACCGAACAACTGAAATTTCTAGAACCACTATATACAAGGGAAATATCAGTCAGAAATCAGTCGACCAGTTTTATGTGCTAATTTGCCTGAAATGTTGCGACTTCGTGACGAATTCTCCCTCAAATCCTAATTTTGGAAAGTTGCTATAAAGGAGACAATTATTCTCCGTAAAATTTTACTCTAGGTCACCGAACAACTGAAATCCCTAGAACCACTATATATTCACAAAATATCGGTCAGAAATCGGTCGGGCTGTTTTATATGCTAATTTGACTGTAATGTTGCGGCTTTTTGCCAAATTTGCCTATAAAGCCTGATTTTTGAGAGTTGCTATAAAGGAGAAAATTATACTCCATAAAATTTTACTATAGGTCACCGAACAACTGAAATCCCTAGAACTACTATATTTTCACAAAATATCGATCAGAAGTCGATAGACCTGTTTTATTTGCTAATTTGCTTGTAATGTTGCGACTTCGTGATGAATTCTCCATCAAAACCTAATTTTGGAGAGTTGCTATAAAGGAACAAGTTATTCTCCATAAAATTTCACTATAAGTCACCGAAAAACTGAAATCCCTAGAACCACTATATATTCACAAAAAATCGGTTAAAAGTCAGGCGGTCCTTTTTTATGTGCAATTTTGCCTATAATTTTGCGATCTTTTGCCGATTTTTTCAACAAAACATAATTTTGGAGGGTTGCTATAAAGAAGAAAATTATTCTCCACAAAATTTCACTATTGGTCCCGGATAAATATAAATCTGTAGCTATACTATATAACATGAAAATGTGGGTTTGAAATTCAATGAAGATGAGAAGAAATAATTGTTATTTTTTTCGACAGGGCCAAATTCGACATCAGGATGCCATTGTAGGGGCTTATTGTTAGGGGAGAAAGTATTCTTCATAAAATTTCACTATGGGTCACGGAGCACAGGAAATTGGTAGCTCCTATATATGCCAATAATATATCGTTGGTGATATAGAGGTATTAAGAAAAACGGTGGTTTGGTGTAATTGTCTGTCTATTTTTGAGCTGGAGCTTTTTTCACCCCCAAGACACCCTTGTAGAGAATTACTGTAAAGAAAAAACTTATTCTCCATAAAATTTCACTATGGGTCCCGGAACATTAGAAATCTGCAGCTATACTATATAGCATGCAAATGTGGATTTGAAATTCATCGAAGAAGTGAAGAAATAAATAATTTTTTGACTTTTCCCGACTCTGGGCCAAATTCTACATCAGAATGCCGCTCTAGGGGGCTAATGTTAAGGGAGAAAATATTCTCCATAAAATTTCACTATGGGTCAGGGAGCAACAGAAATTTGTAGGTCCTGTATATTCCCATAAAATATCGTTGTTAATTTAGGGGTATGAAGAAACGGTGTTTTGGGGTAATTTTTGGTCTATTTCCAATTTGGAGCCTTTTTTCGCCTTCAAGACTCCCCTGTAGGTGGTTGCTGCCAATGAGGGAAATATTCTACGTTAAATTTTACCATGGGGTTCCTTTAATGAAAAATGTGTGGGTTTGGTGTTTATCAATAAAAATAACGTTCGAAATTTGGGTTAATTTTTTCATTAATTAGCAGATAAAAAAAAATCGAATCTAGGAGCCCATAATTTTTTTTTAAATTTATTTTTTAATAATTTTCTTGATATCCATCATTTTTTGAAAAAAAAATTAATTTTTTTAAATAAAATTTTTGATTAATTTTCCTTTCTCCGCTTCTCTTTCTCTCTCTCTCTTCCCACAGCTCCAGCAAACCAAAAGCGGTGCCCCCTCAACACAAAAGCAGGATTTAAGTTTTCTCAACGAAGCATCGCCGATTTATGTGACCTCATTTAATAGTAATCACACGGCGTGTAATAGTACCACCCTCACAACAGCCGGTGTTGCCACATCAACGGGTACAGCTGGTCTGATTAGTGCCACAACAATAACACCGACAGCTGTTGCGGCGACCACAACAAATGCCACACTGTCCAAACCGAAAACAGTACCGGCCAGCGGTGTAGCTTTGTCGACAGCAATTGCCGGTGTGGGAGCAGCAGCTACCGCAGTAAAGGCTGCCTCGTTGGGCCCCATAACAACCGGTAACACCTCAATAGCGGCAGATAGAAATGCCAATAATTGTACTCAGGCTACTGCAACAACAGGAACATCATCAATCACAGGAATTACAACAGCAACAACAAACACAACAACTGGCACCTCAACAATATTGACAAATCATAATAGTATCTATCAGGCGACAGCCCTTAGCAAATTACCCTCCTCATTGCCGCACAAAAAGCTAACCATTGCCCGTAGCCTTCAGCATTTGGAAGTGAAGGAGGAAGATGATGACGACGATGACCTGGCTGCATTAGGTGCCAATTTGTGTAACATCAATTTCATTAACTATAAAAATAAGCATGCCGAGATACCCACGCCCACCAGTAGTACAGCACCACTGAATATTGCACCATTTGCTGTCGGGACAGCACCGAGTATTGTGGCCGGGGCCAGTTCTACGCTGGGTAGACGGAAATCACAACCAAATAACGCCATCATCAGCAACACAACAACAAACACAAACACAGTTACCGTTAGTGCCACCACAGTTGATGTTCATCATTCGGCCCAGGGAGGAGCATCGACAGCGTATCACGATCATATACCGCCGCCTTTACAAATACCACCACCCGCCGCCCATAAAGTGTATGTGGATGCACAGACCTTAACCTCACCCAGGTTATGCAAGGAGTCGGCAGCCGGTATAACTTTACCCGATATAACTAAGACAGCGGCAGCAACAACAACCACAACAGGAGGAGGAGGAGGAGGAACAGCATCAGCCACCTCTGTGCCAGTTGCCACAAAAGCGGTACAAGCTTTAAATAACAATAATAATAATAACAATTTAAGATCCCTAGCAGCTTTATCATCGTCAGCGGTGCCCAGCAACAGCACCACCAATAACAACAACACATCACAACAACAACAACATCATTTACCTTATTATAATGTCCATCATTTGGGTACTTTGCAACAGCTATCAAAACCATTGACAACTAGTTCAGCATCGGCAGCCGCAGCAATACCCAGCATCACCACCACCACCATACCCAGTTCGCACACACCCCACAACACCAGTAATAATAGCAGCATTGCTTCCAGTTCCAACCAGACATCATCAATAATCAGTAGCATCAACACGACCACAGCATCAACGGCAACAACAAAACCCCCACTAAGTAGCAGCAGTAATCTTAGTAATAATTGTGATTTATATAATATATCAGCAACAACAACAACTACAACAACAACAAATAATCTGCAACAGCAACAACTACAACAACAGCAGCAGCAACAACAACTACCACCACCGAGAAGAGAGGTAAGAAGAAGCTAATGAAGGTTGTGATAACTGAAATTAGTTTAACAAAAAAAGTAAAGCATACTTTTAGGGATGTTTAGTTGAGGGAGACATTAAGACACTGAAGACTAAAATGGAAATGATTTTTTGGGGTTAAATATTGGAGATAAAGGTTTCCGGTGTTCGAAGACCCCCTATGGAATTTTGTGGAGAATATTTTTTGCTTTGGAAATTTTTTTATAAAATGAAAAATTAAGCGAAAGTTAGGCTTGAAATTGAAAATGGTCGAGAAAGAGAGAGAGAGAGAGAGGAATTAAGACCTGGAAGACCAAAATGCAAGCGATTTTTATGGGTTAAATATTGGAGATAGAGATTTCTTGTGTTCGAAGACCCATCATGGAATTTTGTGGAGAATATTTTGTTCTTTGGAAGAATTTTAATAAAATGGAAAATTAGAAAGATTTTGGCTTGAAACTGAAAATGTTTTATAGAGAGAAATTAAGATATTGAAGACCAAAATTCAAGCGATTTTAATGGGTTAAATATCGGAGTTAAGGGTTTCTCGTGTTCGAAGACCCACCATGGAATTTTGTGGAGAATATTTTTTCCCTTGGAGGAAAATGAAGAAGTAATGGAAAATTGGGTTGAAATTAAAAATGGGCGAGAAAGAGAAAATTGAAGACATGAGGACCGAAAATGCACAGGACTTTTATGGGTTAAATATTGAAAATAGAGGTTTCTAGTGATCGAAGACCCCCCATGGAATTTTGTGGAGAATATTTTTGCCATTGGAGGAATTTCAATAAAATGAAGAAGTAATGGAAATTTTAGCTTGATATTAAAAATGGTCGAGATGGAGAAATGAAGATCTGGACGACCAAAATGCAAGCGATTTTAATGGGTTAAATATTGGAGATAGAGGATTCCGGTGTTTAAAGACCCCTTACAGAATTTTGTAGGGAATATTTTTTCCTTTGGAAGAATTTTAATAAAATGGAAAATTAGAAAGATTTTGGCTTGAAACTGAAAATGGTTTATAGAGAGAAATTAAGATATTGAAGGCCGAAATGCCAGCGATTTTTATGGGTTAAATATCGGAGTTAAGGGTTTCTGGTGTTCCAAGACCCCCCATGGAATTTTGTGGAGAATTTTTGTTACTTTGGAAAAAATTCAATAAAATGAAAAATTACGGCAAAATGAGACTTGATATTGAAAATTGTCGAGATCGAGAGATAGAAAGGAATTAAGACCTGGAAGACCAAAATGCCAACGATTTTTATGGGTTAAATATCAGAGATAGAGGTTTCTTGTGTTCCAAGACCCTCCATGGAATTTGGTGGAGAATATTTTTTCCTTTGGAAGAATTTCAATAAAATCAAGAAGTAATGGAAATTTTGATCGGAAATTGAAACTGGTCGGGAGAGAGAGAAATGAAGACATGAAAGAAAAAAATATAAATACGAACGATTTTAATGGGTTAAATATTGGAGATAGAGATTTCTTGTGTTTGAAGGTCCCTTACGGAATTTTGTGGAGAATATTTTGTTCTTTGGGAGAATTTTAATAAAATGGAAAATTAGAAAGTTTTTGGCTTGCAACTGAAAATGGTTTATAGAGAGAAATTTAGATATAGAAGACCAAAATTCCAGCGATTTTAATGGGTTAAATATCGGATTTAGGGGTTTCTTGTGTTCGAAGACCCCCTTTGGAATTTTGTGGAGAATATTTTTTCCCTTGGAGGAATTTCAATAAAATGAAGAAGTAATGGAAATTTTGGCTTGATATTAAAAATGGTCGGGATGGAGAAATGTAGACCTGGTAGACCAAAATTCCAGCGATTTTTATGGGTTAAATATTAGAGATAGAGGTTTCTTGTGTTCGAAGACCCCTTACGGAATCTTGTGGAGAATATTTTGTTTTTTCGGAGAATTTTAATAAAATGAAAAATTACAAAGATTTTGGCTTGAAACTGAAAATGGTTTATAGAGAGAAATTAAGATATTGAAAACCAAAATGCCACCGATTTTTATGGGTTAAATATCGGATTTAGGGGTTTCTTGTGTTCGAAGACCCCCCATGGAAATTTGTGGAGAATATTTTGTGCTTTGGAATAATTTCCATTAAATGAAAAATTAAGGGAAAATTAGGCTTTATATTGAAAATGATTTAGGTATCGAAAACAGTTGAAATTAACCATATTTTTCCGCATATACTTATTAGGAACTATATTTTAAATTATATCTACTGACTTCTTGTGTTCGGTGACCCATAATGAAATTTTATGGAGAATATTTTCTCCATTTACACTTTTCTCCTAGAATTACATTTTGAGTTAGAAACAGGCTCCGAATCGAAAAAAGCCCGTTGTCCATTCATGCATTTTACTCTTTTTGCATAGTTTATTACCGGAACCCTTATTTTATTGCGATTCGTTATATATACCGATTTTTTGTGTTATGTGACCCATAGTGAAATACTGTGGATAATATTTTCTCCCTTAACTCTTTTCCTCTATAGTGAAAATTTGTGGGAGATACAGACTCCGTATCGAAATAACTCGATAAGATATCCATGTGTGTCACACTTTTCAAATAATTCATTATTGGATCAGTTAATTTAGGTATATCTGTTATATCTACCGATTTCTTGTGTACCGTGACCCATAGTGAAATTTTATGAAGAATATTTTTCCTATTAAGACTTTTCCCCTAAGTTGAAAATTTATAAGATAAAATCGCTCTAAATCGAAATAAGATCATAATGTATTCTTTAATGTTGCATTTTTTGCCTAGCTCATTATGGTTACCGTTATTTTAGGTAGACATGTTATACCTATCGATTTCTTGTGATCCGTGACTTATAGTGAAATTTTATGCAGAACATTTTTCTCACTAACACTTTTCCTCTAAAATGAAAATTTATAAGAGAAAATGTCTCACAATCGAAATAAGTCCATAAGGTCTTCTTTCATAGCAGACTTTTCGCATAGTTCACTATTCGAAGTGTTATTTTAGTTATATATGTTACACCTAGCGATTTCTTTTGTTCCGTGACCTATAGTGAAATTTTGCGGAGAATATTTTTCCCATTAACACTTTTCCCCTAAGGTGAAAATTTATAAGAGAAAATCGCTCTTAATCGAAATAAGATCATAATGTATTCTTTAATATTGCAATTTTTTGCCTAGCTCATTATTGTTACCGTTATTTTAGGTATATATGTTATACCTATTGATTTCTTGTGTTCCGGGACCCATAATGAAATTTTGTGCAGAATATTTTTCCCATTATCACTTTTCCCCTAAGGTGAAAATTTATAAGAGAAAATCACTCCCAGTCGAAATGAGTCCATAACATCTTCTTTCATAGCACACTTTTTGCACAGTTCACAAATCGAAGTGTTATTTCAGGTATATCTGCTATCTCTACCGATTTCTTTTGTTCGGTGACCCATAGTGAAATTTGATGCGAAATATTTTTTCCATTACCACTTTTCCCCTAAGGTAAAAATTTATAAGAGAAAATCGCTCTAAATCCAAATAAGACCACAATGTATTCTTGTATATTACACCTTTTGCAATATTCCTTAGAGATACCATTATTTTATTTATATCTGTTCTATTTCCCGATTTTTCGGGTTCAGTGACCCATAGTAAAATTTTGTGGAGAATATTTTTCCCCTTAACACTTTTCCCCTAGAATGGAAGAGAATGGCGAAAATGGCTTATTATCAAAATTAGTCCATAATATATCCTTGTGTAATAACTTTTTGCAAAGATCCATATTGGAACCGTTATTGTAGGTATATATGTAGGATATATCGATTTTAGGTAATCCAAGACCCATAGTGAAATTTTGTGGAGAATATTTTACCCCTTAACACTTTTCCCCTAAAATGAGAATTTACGGGGGTAAATGGCTCTTTATCAAAATTACTCCATAAAATATCATTTATAACACACTTTTTGCAAGATCCATATTGGAACCGTTATTATATGTATTTATGTAGGATATACGGATTTTTGATATTCCATGACCCACAGTAAAATTTTATGCCGAATATTTTTTCCCTTAACACTTTTCCCCTAAAATGAAAATTTGGGGGAGAAAATGGCTCTTATCAAAAATTACTCTATAATAACTCTTTGTATTACACACTTTTTGCAAAGATCCATATTGGAACCGTTATTATATGTATTTATGTAGGATATGCGGATTTTTGATATTCCATAACCCATAGTGAAATTTTGTGCAGAATATTTTCTCCATTAACACTTTTCCCCTAGAGTAACAATTTCAGGAAGAAAATGGCTTATTATAAAAATTACTCCATAATAAATCATTGTAATATACACCTTTTTGCAAGATCTATATTGTAACCGTTATTGTAGGTATATATGTAGGATATATCGATTTTTGGTATTCCATGACCCATAGTGAAATTTTATGCGGAATATTTTTCACCTTAACACTTTGCCTCTAAAATGAGAATTTAAGGGAGAAAATGCAGCCTTATCATAATTACTTCATAACCCATGTTTCCATTTCTCTCCAATTTACGATTTTTTTTCTAATTTTCTTTTTTTTCTTCTTCTCCTTCTTCTTTGTGTTTTCTTTTTCTTCCAGTTACTAACCGATGACGATGAGGATGAAACCGATGATATTTTACAATTGAATAATACAACAAATAGTTTATCAAATAATTTATCGCAATTAAACTATAGTCCAAATAGCAGCATATCAAGAGGTGGATTTGAATTATTATTAGGCGATCAATCGTTGCGGCAGGATATAAGGTAAGTGATGGAAAAAAAATTACAACTTCAACAACAATTTTAAAAACAATTTCGAATTTAAAAATATCAAAAAATATGTGATTGAATTTTAAAGAAAAAAAAAAAAAAATTTTCAATGAAATTCCCCCTTTGAAAAAAATCCATGCAGTCTGCCAGAATTTCCCTGCAGTTCCCCTGCGGAATCTCTGGCAATTTTTATGTAAAGTTTTGTGACCTCTCTGGGTCCATGTTAAGCTAGGGTTCCATCCATGTTGTTACCTTTACCATTGTTGTTGTTTGTTTTCTCTGTATTGTAATACCTTTTGTTGTCCACTGCAGTTTGTCCAAGGAAATCCATAAAATATTACCAACATCCCCCAGCAAGCATTGAGTTCCCTCCAATGGAATTTTTTCCGCTGCTGTTGAAACGGGTATTCATGCATCCTGGAAGTGGATGAGGGCTACTTTCATGTGTTATTAACTCCCAGGGAATTTTTTTGCCAGTTGTTGTTTATAAATATTGATATGCAGCAAAAAAGAGAAAGAGAAAACAGAGACCCCGTCTCCCCATTGGCCATATACAGAAGGTGTATGTGTGTGTGTGTGTATTGCAGTATGATTGGGATATCTGCAACATATCTGGTGGCAATTGCAATGCTATGTTGCATGCCACGCCATGGCTTATGTTGACAATACCACTGCTGCTGTTGATACTTTACAACAACGGGATGTAATCAGTCACTTTTGTTTTGTTGACAATTTCATTTGTCATTTGGGGGGGAAATGGATAGGCAGGGGGAGGGGAAGTGGAGTGGCGAAGTGGATTTTCATTCATTTATTGAAAAACTCATTACAAATGAGTGAAAATTCCTGTAGAGTTATTGTTTGTGTGTGTCGATTCGCGCTACATGGCTTAACATGTCTCATTCAAGTGACCGTGAGGTGATGATGTGTGAGTGTGTCAAGTTTTTATTCAATTCAAAACTATAACAAAGTGAAAATAAATAAAGGAGGTGTGAAGAAAAAAATGACTACAAGAAATTCATTTTCATGGGAACATTTTTAAAAAATATTGAAGAAAATCGTTTTTCAGCCATGCTGAATTGCAAACTTCCCTTAGGAAGTTAAATTCAGCAAGGCTGAATTACAGATTTCCCTCAGAAAACCAAATTCAGCTGAGAATAATTATAAATTTCCCCCAGAAACTTCAATTCAGCTAAGCTGAGTTGCAGATTTCAACGTGGAAACCTAATTCACCTAAGCTGAACTCCTATTCAGCTAAGTTGAATTGAAGATTTCCAACGGGAAATCAAATTCAGCTATGTCAAATTGAAGATTTCCTATTAAAACTCCTATTCAGCTAAGCTGAATGGAAAATTTCGTATTAAAACTCTTATTCAGCTAAGCTGAAACGTAGATTTTCAACGTGAAATCTAATTCAGCTATGTTAAATTGAAGATTTCCTATTATAACTCTTATTCAGCTACGTTGAATTAAAATTTTCCTATATAAACTCTTTTTCAGCTAAGCTGAATTGTAGATTTTCAACGAGAAATCCAATTCAAGTATGCGAAATTGACGTTTTCCTATTAAAAATCTTATTCAGCTAAGCTGAATTGAATATTTCCTATAAAAACTCTTATTCTGCTAAGCTGAATTGGAGATTTTCAACGGGAAATCAAATTCAGCTATGTCAAATGGAAGATTCCCTATTAGAACTCCTATTCAACTAAGCTGAATTGAAAATTTCCTATCAAAACTCGTATTCAGCTAAGCTGAATTGAAGATATTCTACCAAAAACATTTTTTATGATAAATTGAAGATTTCCTTCTGGAAATATAATTCAGCCTTGCTGAATTGAAGATTTCCTAGCAAAACTCTTATTTAGCTAAACTGAATTGAAGATTTCGATCAAGAAACCTAATTCATCTGTGCTGAATTTCAGTTTTCCTTCAAAAAATTAAATTCAGCTGAGCCAAAATACAGGATTCCTCCTGGAAAAAATAATTTAGCTGGTCTGAATTGAAGATTTTCCTTCGAAAATCAAATTCAGTTTTGCTGAATTGAAAAATTACCATGGAAAACATAATTCAGCAAAGCTGAATTGCAAATTTGCTCCAGAAAATCTAATTCAGCTGAGCCAAATTACAGCATTCTCCCCGAAAACCCAATTTTAAATGTTAACTTTCCCTTAGAAAATCAAATTCAGCTAGGCTGAATTGAAGATTTACCACGGAAAACATAATTCCGCTCAACTATTTTGTAGATTTCACTCGGGAAATGTAACTCAGCAATGCTGAATTGCAGATTTCCTCCAGAAAACCTAATTCAGCTGAGTCAAATTACAGATTTCTCCCCAAAAACCTAATTCATCTGGGCTGAATTTAAAATTTACCTTAGAAAATCAAATTCAGCAAGGCTGAATTGACGATTTGCCACAGAAAACTTAATTTAGCTCAACTATTTTGTAGTTTTCACTCTGGAAATGTAATTCAGCATTGCTGAATTGCAGAATTATGTCGAAAAATTTAATTCAGCTGAGCCAAATTGAAGATTTCTTCCCGAAAACCTAATTCAGCTGGGCTGAATTGAAGATATCCCATCGAAAATCAAATTCAGCTATGCTGAATTGAAAATTTACCACGGAAAACCTAATTTAGCTGAACTATTTTGTAGTTTTTGAAGGAGAACCCTAATTGAGCAAAGCTGAATTGCAGATTTTCTCCAGAAAACCTAATTTAGCTGAGCCAAATTACATATTTCTCCCCCAAAACCCAATTCAGCTATGCTGAATTGAAAATTTACCACAGAAAACGTAATTCAGCTCAATATTTTGTAGTTTTCCCTCAAGGAATGTAATTCAGCAAAGCTGAATTGCTTAATTATCTTGAGAAATCGATTTCAACTGGGCTGAATACAAGCTTTACCTTCGAAAATCAAATTCAGCAAAGCTGAATACAACATTTCTAGCAAGAAACCTAATACAGCTAAGCTGAATTGAAGATTTCCAATTGGAAACCTTATTGGCTTATTCACAATAGAGGCTATAATAAGAAATTGGTTGGTTATGGTCTTTACTACATTTCCACATTAACAGCCTAAAAGTATGCAACACTTTTCAATAGAAATTTCTTAATCCCTATACATTAACCCTCTGAAGGTCGGGATAAAATGATAAAACAATATTTATTAACTAAAATTTAATACAAAAAAATGTTTGCGGAACCCCATCCCTCTTTGGCATTTTTTGCGGAACCCCATCCCTCTGTGGCATTTGCTATCCTCCGCCAACAAAAATAAATTTGTCAAAGAAAATGTCATCCAGAGGAAATTCAATTTTTGTTGCCAACCCAGGCTTCTGCTGCTGCTCGGCATGCAACGCATCTGCATATACGTTGTTGACAGCCAATGACATTTGTTATTGTTGGTGGTGATGACTACAAAGAAGAAGAAGAAGAAAACGCAGGCAAATGACAGTTATTGATTTGATTTACCAGCTCCGAGTGTGGGCTTTTGTGAGCTTCAGAGGCTGCCTTTCCTTTGATGGCAAATTTTCCACAACAAAAAAAAAAAAAAATACAAAGAAGTTTACAAAGCGGAAGACAACTGATAAGGATAAAGTAATTTTTTTATTCACAAAGGATAACGAAAGGATAAAACATGATTTTTGTTCTTCTACTTCTTCTACTTCTTCTTCTTCTTCCAGAGAAATTTAACATTTCACTGCCATTTGGTATTGATTAACCATTAATCCATAATTTTTTCCTCCGTAATTTTTCTCTATGTGTGTGCGCGAGTATCCTTTAATGGGATTTTCCGCTCATTAAGCACTGGCTGCTATTTTGTGTGTGTGTGTGTGTGTAAATATTTGTGGTTGTAGTTCGTGTCCTTGTTGTTGTTTCATTACTGTGATGTAAATATTTGTAAATACAGGTAGTTATAAAAATCGCTGATGCGGAAAATCCCTGCACACACTTAATTACACAAAGGTGAGCACACATGCATTCTCCGAACAAGTGAGGAGAAAAATGCAAGTGCTTAAAAAATACTCACTTCGATAATACTCATTTCGATACTCACTTCTCTAAAGATCCACGTTCTTAGACTTCTTCAAAAAATTATCCTCTAAAGATCCACGCCTTGGAAGTCCTCCAAAAAATTATCCTCCAAAGATTCAGGCCTAGGAAGGCCTTCAAAAAATTATCCTCTAAAGATCCACGCCTTGGAAGTCCTCCAAAAAATTATCCTCCAAAGATTCAGGCCTAGGAAGGCCTTCAAAAAATTATCCTCTAAAGATCCACGGCTTGGAAGTCCTCCAAAAAATTATCCTCTAAAGATCCACGCCTTGGAAGTCCTCCAAAAAATTATCCTCTAAAGATCCACGACTTGGAAGTCCTACAAAATTTATTCTCCACGCCTTGGAAGTCCTACAAAATTTATTCGCCACGCCTTGGAACTCCTCCAAAAAATTATCCTCTAAAGATCCACGCCTAGGAAGGCCTACAAAAAAATCTTCTTTTAAAAATCCACGCCTAGGAAGGCCTACAAAAAATTCTTCTTTTAAAAATCCACGCTTCGGAAGGCTTAGAAAAAAATTCTTCTTTTATAAATCCACGCCTAGGAAGGTCTGCAAAAAAAATTTAAAATCCCCGCAAAAATTCTTCTTTTATAAATCCACGCCTAGGTGGTAGACCTACAAAAAATTCTTCTTTTATAAATCCACGCCTAGGTGGTAGACCTACAAAAATTCTTCTTTTATAAATCCACGCCTAGGTGGTAGACCTACAAAAAATTCTTCTTTTATAAATCCACGCCTAGGTGGTAGACCTACAAAAAATTCTTCTTTTATAAATCCACGCCTAGGTGGTAGACCTACAAAAAATTCTTCTTTTAAAAATCCACGCCTAGGAAGGCCTATAAAAAAATCTTCTCTTATAAATCCACGCCTTGGAAGGCCTACAAAAAATTCTTCTTTTAAAAATCCACGCCTTGGAAGACACAAAAAAATCTTCTTTTATAAATCCACGCTTCGAAAGGCCTACAAAAAATTCTTCTTTTAAAAATCCACGCCTTGGAAGACACAAAAAATTCTTCTTTTATAAATCCACGCTTCGGAAGGCCTAGAAAAAATTCTTCTTTTATAAATCCACGCTTCGGAAGGCCTACAAAAAATTCTTCTTTTATAAATCCACGCTTCGGAAGGCCTACAAAAAATTCTTCTTTTTCAAAACCACGCCTAGGAAGGCCTACAAAAAATTCTTCTTTTTCAAAACCACGCCTAGGAAGGCCTACAAAAAATTCTTCTTTTTCAAAACCACGCCTAGCAAGGCCTACAAAAAATCTTCTTTTAAAGATCCACGCCTTTGAAGACCTACAAAAATTCTTCTTTTATAAATCCGCGCCTAGGAAGGCCTACAAAAAATTCTTCTTTTCCAAAACCACGCCTAGGAAGGCCTACAAACAATTCTTCTTTTAAAAATCCACGCCTTGGAAGACACAAAAAATTTTTCTTTTATAAATCCACGCTTCGGAAGGCCTAGAAAAAATTCTTCTTTTATAAATCCACGCCTAGGAAGTCCTACAAAAAGTTCTTCTTTTAAAAATCCACACCTAGGAAGGCCTACAAAAATTCTTCTTTTATAAATCCGCGCCTAGGGAGTCCTACAAAAAGTTCTTCATTTATAAATCCATGCCTAGGAAGGTCTACAAAAAATTCTTCTTTTAAAAATCCACGCCTAGGAAGGCCTACAAAAAATCGTCTTTTTCAAAACCACGCCTTGGAAGACCGTCTAAAAGTTCCTTTTTTAAAAATCATTAAACAAATCTTTTAAAAATCCATTTCAAAATTTTCTGCACTTATGCTCCGTCCCATAATTCATAACTTATAGAATGTTCTGAATTATGGGACTGAGCGTTATTTCTTCATTCCAAATCATTTTATTTCATCAAAATGCGACAGTTACATAAAAAGTTATAGCCACTAGAAACGATTGCTTAAAAATGAGCAAAAAGAGAGGAAAAATTGGGAACTTTGCAAATTGGGCGATATCTTGGGTATTACAAGAGCTACAATGACATATTGTGCATCCACATAAAGGTGAGACACTCTGCTTTCATAATTTTGTAAAATCAAGTATCCATATTGTACAAAAAATTAGTAAAATATTAGATTTTTTTTGATCACAAAATCGAATTCTCTCGGCTTAAAGAAAATTAATAATTTTACTTTTTTTAAATCTTTATGGAATATTTTCCGGACGAAGTATATTTTTTATATGCACCATTTTTTAAACCACTCGATTTTCAATCAATATCAATTTATTTCATTCAAATCGTTCACGTATCTCCAAAGTTATGGCTAATAGAAGCAATTACGCTAAAACCGACCAAAATAGGGACAAATTGAGAACTTTACAAATAGTGCGATAACTTGGGTACTACAAGAGCTACAATGACATTTTATGCATCTATGTAAACGTAAGGCATCCCGCTTTCAAAATCTTATAAAATTGTAATAATATTGCACAAAAATTTGAATAAAATATTAGCTTTTGAAGAGGATAAATTGAAATTTTTGTGACTCAAAAAATAACAAAAAAATATTTTTTGTTAATTTTTCTGGATTTTTTTCGAACAAAGTTTATTTTAATTATGCATCACAGTTTAATTCGCTCGATCTACTTTCAAAATCAATTTATTTCATTGAAATCGTACCGATATCTTCAAAGTTATGGCCAATAGAAACAATTACGCAAAAACCGACCAATAAAGGGACAAATTGGGAACTTTACAAATAGTGCGATAACTTGGGTACTACAAGAGCTACAATGACATTTTATGCATCTATGTAAAGGCGAGACATGCCGCTTTCAATATCTTATAAAAAAATTTAATCATATTGAACCAAAGAATTCATAAAATGGTAAGCCTTCACGACGACTTTTTCAAATCATTTACTCCACAAAAAATAATAATTTCGTTTGGTTTTATATTTCTGTCGAACTTTTTCCTGACGATATCTGCTTCAATTATGCATCACAATTTAAATCATTCGATCTACTTTCAAAATCAATTTATTTCATTAAAATCGTACCAATATCTCCAAAGTTATGGCCAATCGAAGTAATTACGCAAAAACCGACCAAAAACGGGACAAATTGGGAACTTTACAAATAGTGCGATATCTTGGGTATTATAAGAGCTACAATGACATTTTATGCATCGGCAAAAAGGTGAGACATGCCGCTTTCAAAATCTTCTGAAAATAGGTAATCATATTTTATAAAAATATTAAAAAAATAGGTTTTTATGAAAAAAATTATTTGAATTTTTTTCGGCATAAGAAATATTTTTTTGGTTTTTTTTATAATTTCTTGGAACTTTTTTCGAGTGAAGTTTATTTCAGCTAAGCATCATTATATAACCTACTGGGTTTACTTTCAAAATCAATTTATTTCATTAAAATCCCTCACATATATCAAAAGTTATGGCCAATTGATGTAATTACGCAAAATCCGATCAAAAATGAGACAAATTGGGTATTTTTGCGAATTGTGCGATATCGTGGGTATTTTGAGAGCTACAACGGTTTGGGTGTACCTGATTTAAAGGTCACAATATCCTCTTTCCGAAATTAGCTTCAATTATTCCCATATACAATTACACCTGATATCTAATGGAACCCGAAGTTCTCCCACCAAAGACCCACCTTTGATTTGTGTTACTTTAAAACTTCAGTTAAAGTATCTCAACATTCTCATTTTTTTTCAAATTAAGAAACTTTTCTTCTTATTAATTATTCACAACGTTGCTACTTGATGAGCATTTAGCCGAACAAAAAATAATTCGGAACAACTTATTTCCCCTCATTCTCTCGCTGAAGGCTATGAATTTCGATTTTTTTACCTTACCTTAGACGATTTACGCCACTCTAATTGCCAGGCGCTTTCTTTTAAATGGGTCACATAAAATTGCGAGTGGAATGCATACCAAGAAAATCCTTCCTTCCAACATGTTCACCCTTTCAGAGAACTGGGCACCCATAATTTCAGTAATTTTATGATGTTTACAAAGGCCTGGCTATGGCTGGTTGGCAGCACAGG